TAATTTGCGTCGCTGGCTGCACGCGTCTCGTTAACGGCAGGCCCACGCTCGTCGCCTCTCCTCTTGGTCGCCTTCCCATTTCATATCGACGTGTAGTACCCTCTCGACGTCTCAATCTCCCTCTCACTCGCGCCTATTATTATTTATCGCCGCGATTGTTCCGGGCTATACGCTGTGCGTCTATCGCACCGTCGATACCGTAGTCGGAGTCGTCATTAACAGTGTCGAAACAGAACGGCCGGTGTCGAAACAGGGACGACACAGCGCCGTTTATCGCTTCTACACCTAATCCGAGAAACAAGAACGAACGGCACGTGGGCGGCTCGTGGGAGAAAAAAGGAGCGTCGCTTCGTTTTATCGCGATTTAACCGCGACCCGGCGAAATGACTACTGGAAGGAGAATTTGGCAATAAGCGCGGAAAATTTTGGCGAATATTTGGTTACCGCGACAATCGGCACACTAAATGTCAAGAAATTTCATTGAGCACACAGCTTATGTAATAACAAATCACGTCCACGAACAAGGTGGCGATGTTGATTCAATCTGAAAAAAAAAAGACATTACTCATGGGTACCCCTAATATCTGGTCGGCGAATTTTCACCGCAAATTTTAATACTTATTACCAAATCCTTATTTCAGTTAGAGAGCCGAGCCGGCGAGCCTTCGGCCGACCAGGCACTATTCGCCTAAAACAGAAGAATGATTCAAGGCGACCGACTTCTCTCGGCCGTCATTCGCGCGTCGTCATTCTAGGACGGCTCGGACGAGCGGAGGACTCCTCCGCGTTGTTGCACCTGTCCGCCTGCTCGCCACGCTAATTCGAAGTTTCAGCAACGCGCCGTCGTCTCACACGTGCGCTCGCTCGTCCGCGCGAAAAAGGAGCGCGGCACGTGTGCCGTGGCGAGCACGCGTATCCTCAGGATCGGATCTTGTTTAGTTCCCGACGAATCGGAGCGTCGTCGTCGTCGGCGCCTTTCTATTTTATCAGACGCTCCATCTTCCCCCTTTCACTCCATTATCCTTATCACACTGCCGCTATTGATTCGTACTCACGCCGGGGGAAAACGGAAAAATTCACACATCGCGTCGAGAGAAAGAGAGATGAACGCAGCGAAATCGGTCCCGGATCTTTCACTTGGTCACGCATTACTCAATGCACTACTCTCGTTGTACGCCTCGGTATTATTCCCTTTCAGTCCGATCCTGCGCGCTTTACACGCGGTAGCGCGTACGTAGCCGCGGGCTGTGGGTCGCAAGGCCCCGAGGGCGCGAGACCGCGGGATAATTCGAGAATCTACGATCTACGCGAGAGCTGACGTCGGTGAAATTAATTTCATTATCCGTCCTGCCTCTCTCTCTCTTTTTCTGCCGCTTGAAAGCTGCGAAGAGGCGAGATATCCGCGAGAAGCGCGCCCAAGAGCCCCGCGAGGGATTTTGATCTTCTCGTACGATTACTGAAAAGAGACCTGAAGAACGAGATTGTGTGTTTCTCGCTTAGTTCCCTTGAGAAGAAAGCGAGCTTTACGTGCGCGATATCCGCGTGCGAAAGAAGACAGGAGGCTCGAAAAGTTCGGCGCGATCACGGCGAGATAGGGCCCGAAAAACGGGACTCACGACGTGGTGTTTCGGGGGTCCGGCGCGCATTTCGCACACCGCAGCTCTCGGGGGCCCGTTTATTGCTTTTCTCAGAACGAGAGATTGCGCCAAGGCAAGGCCGATGAGTCGCGGAAAGTGGCATAACTCTCCTCTTTCGAGGCGCGCGCTTTAAGCGACGCTTTTATACGTCCGAACGGGCCCGTCGACGTGTCGCGAGCACGTGTCAATTAAAGAGCCCAGGTGCACAGTCGCGGGGAATTTTCGTTTCACCGGCGACGGCCAGCCAATCGCGCGACCACGACCGCCGTTGGTCCCGTATAATCAATTTTTCGCCTATCGATCTCGCTCTCGAAATTTCTCGGAGTCCCGCTCGAAACGTGAGTGAAAAGTGACAATAGTTTCTACAGTTTTGAAGACTCGGGAAAAACCAATTTTTTCTCCCATCTTCCCGTAGATTTCTTCGGTTTCTATCCCAAGGATGGAAGAATTCGTTTAGGAAAATTCATGTGTGTCCGGTTAAAACCTGCTACATTTACTTCTTCTTCTTCCGTAAGGAAGGCAGGAAAATCCGTAAAAATCCGCGAGAAAGTGAGAAAAAACCGATTTTTTCCGAGAGTTTAAAACTATCGTATTCTCACTCGAAGCGGTAGTGAAAAAAATAATGCCACTTGCGAAATCGCGATAAATATTTCGCTCATACTTAGGGTGAATTCCGACTCAGTACGAGAGAATATTTCAATCGGTCGTAGTGAATATGTTTCTGTGAAGTATGGTAAGGTATGCGGCCGGTCACAAAAAGGTTGCAACACTTTTCTTCCGATGAATTTCACAACGCATCTCGCCTCCAACAGGAATATGTATCTCCTGAGAATTACTGAAAAAACAAATTCTCCTATCGGACACGGGTTGTGTTCCGAAACTAATAAAAAAAAAGTGTTGCAACCTTTATGTGACTGGTCCACTGAAATATATCCATACTGGAAGAGGCACTGGGCCTCGAAAAGTGGAAGCCGACAGAGAGGCTAATTTTAGGGTATTCCCTCTCTGTCGCACACATATGCGTCGCTCTCTTTCGAAAGAGATAAGTATAAGTATATAGGTGGGTATAAGTAAGAGATAGACAGCCCTAAACTTCTGTCTCAGGCGCGCTTTCGGTCCATAAGCGTTATATGACAGTGCCTCTTTCAGCACATACATATATTTCAATGGATTGGCCATATATCAAATTCACTCTTCAATTTCGAGTGAAAACATTCACTCGACGACTCAAAGTGGAGAATTCATTTTGTACAGTCGGCGTTGTGTATGCTGTGCTATTCCCTTAAAACAACAACAATGACGACAACGACAACAAATTATACGATTTTCAGCCTTATAATCATTACAAGGTAAGGCCAACATTATAAGGTTGAAAATCACATAAAATACTCGAATTATAACGATAGAATTGCAATCGCTTTAATGTATAAAATTGTATAATTGTATGAAAATTATGTAATTTTTGCAGGGGACAAAATTAGCTGTCGACGTAATACAACTGAAATTTCATTACTAGATCTAGTTTTTAGCAGGAGCTACAGGAATCAGCTGAATGAATTAAATTTCAGTTGTATTATATAGACAGCTAATTTCTACCCGTGGGAGCTAGCTTTTCTCCGTGTGATGTACAGTACAGCACACATGATGCCGATGTATAAGTGAAGAATCGTTCGAATTCGAGCGACTCAGTGTCTGCTCACTCTACATTTCGAGTGAGACTCCGACTTTAGAAATTTAAAGAGCACCCTGTCGACCTCACCCCCGTTGCATCGGCGAGATCTTGCCCGGGAGAGGTAACGGAACAATTCTCTCTTCACTATTATCCGTGCGTAGGGAATTCACGACGTCGCTAATCGCGAAATCGCTAATCGCCGCAGACAGGATCGCGACTCGGTCCGCGACGAGAGACAGCGCGAACGGCGGGGGATGAGAATCGAGAGAGAGGAGATAAAGGGAGTAGAGAAAAGAGAAGTCGCTTGCGTAATCCTGGTCGGCGCATATGTGTGCCGATCGCCCGCGGCGAGCCGAGACCTTGCCGGCGTGCATGAGAACTGGGCCGCGCCGGGCCCGTCCATCGGGCCCCAATCGGGCCCGGAGTCGTCGGACCTAGACGATACGGACGACGCCGCCGAGTCTGCGATGTCCCGCATACCGGATCAATCCGGACGATCGGGAGGAAGGCTCTATTTATACGGACGTGAGCAGAGAGGACTGCCCAACTCGTGTCTCGCTCTCTCTTGGAGAGAGAACGATTATCCACATATTCCTGAGTCGGAATTTGGGCCCTGTGTTAAATCTTTGATTCTACAACTACACAGAGGAAAAGGTTTCCTTAGAATTAGTATTTCTACTTATTCGGCTGAAAATTTCTTTCGTAGAAACAACGTATACTTATACGAAATATTATTTGTTGAGTAAGAATCTTATTGTCTCATTCAAGAAAGTCTCTGTTATTTAACGGAAAGAACGCCTGATGGTGTCTTAGATTTCTGTCTTCTGTCGCTGTTTTAGCGACAAAATAGTTTGTCGAAGGTAGTGTTAAAATCCTCAATAGAACGAAAGGTTCCAAAGAGAAGTTAAGAAGTGTCGGTGTTGTCAAAGTAAGTTTTTATTAGTCTATAGGCTGTCCAAATAGGCGTAAATCATCCTTAAGGGCACCAAAGTAGCATCAAAAAAATTTCAACTCGGATCAGGCAAATTAAGTGCTTCCCATACCGACGCGTAAGTGTTCGTCACGACGAAATTCAGTCATTGACTCATCATTATCGCTGGCTGTTATCAACGCATCACCATGCGATTACCATATTTAAATATTAATTAAAATCAACTGTGTAACTCGCACGCGCACGTGCACATTGCGCAACTTGATTTGTTTATAGGATATGCGCGCGTGAGCCGCTCTCTCAGGGGCGTTTCTACGGTTAAACGAACTGTTCATCCGCTTATCCGGCCGAGGAGAGTCGGACGTGCTCGCGAGATTGTCTCTCAAATCGTTCGTGCGATCTGTGTAATTACACGGTGAGCACGCAAGGGGAATTACAAGCAGGCGTTTACGCGCACTGCTGACGAGACTGTCAAAAGACCGGCGTCATTTGCTCGTTAGGAAATCATCCGAGATAAATCCGTTTCGGCCGCAACGCGATGCGGCCACCGATTGCGAAAGGGGGTTTAGAAATGTCCCCACGAGCTCGATTTTGCCGCACGTGCGCGGCCGCAAGCTCGAAAAGCTGATTGAAAAAAAGTGTTCGAAACCTTTTGAAAACTGACGTGCAACGATAACGTGACGTGATATACTGGTATATAATTTACAAATGCAGTACGACTGATTTCTGCGACGTTCCTAACGCGATTCTCGAATTTCAGGCTTTGGGACCGATCTCCGGCTGCCACGTGAATCCGGCTGTGTCGTTCGGTCTGCTGGTCAGCGGGAACTGCACGTTCCTCAAAGCCGTTAGTTACATGGTCTGCCAATGTTGCGGCGCTATCGCGGGCTCCGCAGTTCTCAAGGTACACGAAGTTATTTGATCAATTTCATATGATAATACAGTCCTTGTGGAATCTCGAATCTTGAGGAAATCCTCGGCCAAATCGAAAAACCTCGCCGCTCCGAGACGAAAAACCTTGTCCCTTTTCTTTTTTTTTCATTATCCGCCGGCTGCGGCGATATTGCATAATTGATAAAACGCGCTCTCTCGTCTGAGATCGTCGGTGTCGTGTGTTGGGATGTATTCATTTAAGAACGCTCGCACTGCTCACGCGTAATCGTAAGGATTGTCCGGCCGAAGCGTGAAATTGATCGTTGATAGCCTGTCATTTCGGTGATCGCGCGCGACGCGGCGCGGCGCGACTCGCAAAAGTGCCGTCCACCCGTATCAATTAAATCGCCGTTGCGCAAGGTCAAGGTTTACTCTCATCGAGATCCGGGGCTCCGTTGATCGTGTGCACACCCATTACATCAGAGAGAGAGAGAGAGAGAGAGAGAGACCGTCGGACTCGCACTCGGCCGGACGCATTCTCGCACGTGCGCGCGACTCTGTACGTGTCGTTTCGAATAGTATTTTGCCGAGATGGAGGAGCTGATTTGTTTTATTTTTGCGTCACGATTCAATCGTTCACGATTGCGTGATCCTAGAGAGAAAAAAAAAAAGAGTCGTTAAAATGTGAAAGAGCGGTCTTTCGAGACACAAAGCGATACTCACAGTCAGTTTCAGTTTTAATATTTATGAATTATGTCATTAATTAACAGTTTAAAAACATTTATAAGACGCTATGTCGACAATTTAAAAAAATCCACATGTATAAAATCAACGTTTCAAAAGATCGATTTAACGTTCCACGCTTACTTTCCTTTTGCTTCACCTCGAGTCCTCCAGGTCGAATCTCTGACCGAGTCGTCTCGTTGCAGCTGATAATGCCGGCGGCGCAGAAGTCCTACGGCCTGGGCGCTACCATGCTGGGGCCCGGGGTGACGATCGTCCAGGGTATCGTAATGGAGGCGATCATCACGTTTCTGCTGGTACTGGTGGTGCACGCGGTCACAGACCCGAAGCGTACCGACACGCGAGGCTGGGCCCCGCTGGCGATCGGCCTGACGATCTCGGCGGCCCACATGGCAGCGGTGCCGTTCACGGGCAGCAGCATGAACCCCGCGCGGACTCTGGGTCCCGCCGTGATCGACGGCCACTTCAGCAACGTCTGGATCTACTGGGTCGGCCCGATCGCCGGAGGCTGCACGGCCGGTGGCGTCTACAGGATGGGCCTGAGATCCAACAAGGACGACGACGAGGCATCGTACGACTTCTGAGGGGAACACCCGGCTAGTAGAGATGAACCCCGCAGACCAGATGAGTCTCCCCACTCCCCTTTGTCGTTCTTCTTAATTAAGAAACTAGGTATTAGCATTCTCCTGGAACACGGACGAAAGGAGGACTTCGGTTATCGTGATCGGCGCGATCGTCATAATTCGGTCGCGTTAGCCGAACTCGATTGACAGTAATCGACGTGAACACCTCTCGGTTTGTGTAAATTTTACAGCCACTATTTTGTACGTCACCCTACCCTGAGTTTTGTATATATTGTACTTAAAGTAGCTCGTAGCGACCGAATGTATTGTCTAGCGATTTAATATAGTCCAGTATTGTCTGAAACTTAAATGAGTAGTTTACGGCGCACCTCCCGTGCGAATGATACAAACGTGAAGGCATTAACAAATACACTTATTTTTTGTCATCAAT